TAATTAAATGAAATAAACATAAAATATTAACTAACACCCGGTATATTGAAGAATTTTGCAAACCAAAAATAATATCCTCAGAATGCAAAGAAAAATAACTGAAAGTAAAAGAAATCATTATAAACAGTACTTTATTCGCTTTGTGTCCAAAATGGACAAAATTAATACTCCAAATGTATGCCAAGGCTTAAAGCAGCAACAACGCTCACATGTGAGTAAAAATATTTAAGTATCTGAACGAAGAATTCTAGTCTCTTCCCCAATTTGATTGTCCTGACTAATCACCTGTTAGGCCTAATTAATTTTAGAATGTTTTAAAGTATTGCAATTGTGATGTATTTTAATGTGTGATATGATGAGGCTGATTAATTAATCTAAAAATTATTTAATATATTTAATTCATTAAAAAACCTAAAAACATGTCTGCATTCAAATGTTCTTGAAAAAAAATGTGATCTTAAACTAAATTATTTTTCATTATCGCTCCACGCAATTGCTGACCCCTTGTGCGGGTTTTGGATTATTCTAAATTGGAGATTGCGTGTATTCATAAATGCGTTATGGTGCAGCGCGCATTTGTCAGAAAATCAAACTTATTCAAATAGCTTTTCGTTTCCTGCAATTTTATCTAAAACGACCGCACAAAATTTGACGCGTTTTCCAAAATAGTTAAAAGAAAGTTCTTGATGAAGCTGCATTTTGTAATCATGGTAACTATGTTTTTGCAGGATCATTGAGATTGACTCTTCGTGTGGCTCTATTTGAGGATATTCTATTACATGCTTCAACTCCCAATTCCGTTGTTTCATAAATTCATTCTTTCTGACCGAATAATTTATTCTCAATGGTTTTCTATATGCATCACTCCCCGTTCTCGCAAAATAAGAATCAACAATTGGTTCGTTCTGCTTTAGAGTAACGTTTCACTTTTACGTATGTTTTGTTAAAAATCTACTAACAACATAAGATTACACAGAAGCGATTTCTAGCATAAGAACTCACAAGTTCAAATAATATTACAGTAAATAGTTCAGACTCAAAGACTAGTCTCAAATTGCGATAGATCTATAAATTATTAAATTTAATAATATCGACATTAATCCTGAAAATAGGAGATTTCCATGAAACCTTGAAGAGTCGGGCAGACCTTCAAGATACCCGATAGGTAGAATATCTTTACAGTTTTCAATAGAAAATTTAAATTTTTATTTTTCCTGACATAAAGTGTTCCATTTAAATTAAGCAAGTAATCCCTTAAAAACGTGCAGTTCTTTGAAGACAATTTTGGTATACCTTGTATGTCTTTTGGCATCGAAATTCGAAATGACGGTTGCAAATTTTTAAACTGATAAAAAGCTCTTCATTTTTACAAAACTCCAAATTTCTCAGAAACGGTAAGCTTTAACTGAGATAAACCTTAATAAAATTCGCATTTATTTCGATCATAGGTACTAATAGCATAATAATATACAGGGTATTCCATTGTTGAAATGCAGCCTTGGGTTGAATCTAGTAATTCGTACAACCTGTACATTAGAAAATAATTTTATAATATTCGCCCGACGCTCCTCAGTCTATTCATAAAATGATACCTTCGAAAAATAAAATAGTTCAGCCGAAATGTTTAGTGCCCTTTAATCTGAATAACCCTGTAGACCAGGTGATCCAATTCACATGGCTGCACAGAGGTGCAAAAAAGTTCAGATAAAAGAACTTATGCAGGCGCTTCGTTTCCGGGTTACATGGTGATGAATTTAGAAACTTTTTCGTTTTCCCGTTTTAACTATCGCCATTTTTTGAGATATAAATTTCAAAGTCGACAATGCAAAAGCTTGGCACAGAATAAGTGGCTAGATTATTTTAATTAAGTTTTTTTTGCAATTAACCCGATAAAGGGCGACACGTATGAAAAAATGTAAGACACAAGAAAATATCTACATTTAAGAAGCGGTTTCGAAGAGTTCAACTCACTTCAGTGGCGCTACACAAAAATGTTGGAAATGGTAAATAGGGCAAGTTCTTTTTACAAAACTATCATTCTGTACTTTCTCACAACCGTTATGCACATTAGAGTTTAAGTTATGTTCAGAATTTCAGACAAATATTTCAAAAACTGCAGCAAATTAAAATTCCAAAGTAAACACCCTGTATCTTGGAATTGAAGCATTTGTGAACATATTTATATGAGCTTTTCTACGTATTGTGGTGAACTTAACTAAACTGGTTAAAATTGAAATCTCCATGTACATCTTCAATTTACTACATTTATGCATAATTTGTGAATGTGTGACACACATTTTTTTATAAATCGAAATATTTATATAGTATGTTTGAAGCAATATATTTATGACATCATCAAAGAATAGAAGGTAACCAATTAACAAACCTTAAGTGCAGCTTTAATTTAATGCAAGCTCTTTTTTTTTCAAATCTAACTCCATTTTTTGCAGGCAATGTATGGCAAAATTAGATTAATTTTTCGTATCCACTTGAGGCAAAAAACTAAACCGAACTAAGAAAAATGTTTTTTCATATTGTTATAAATAAACTGCAAATAAAATGCAAAAAAACAAGCAAATGAACATCTAAGCCATCCCGTTCAACAAATCAATAATGCATTATTTGTTAATGTGTGACACACATTTTATTATAATAAATAATAATAATTTTGCTTTTGAGTATGGATTTCTCGAATTAATGCGATCTATCATTAAATGTTTTTAATGTTGAGCATTTTAGCTCTTTTCATCCAATTGTGGTTTTGTCGGTTTGCTAATTCATCACTATGTTGTGCGCCTGTTAGTTAATTCCGTTCCGCTTTATTTTATTGCTACACAAACTGGGCAACTGAACAACTATAAATCTTCAGTTTAAAACAATAAGTACGTTTATAACTAAGCACTAAATTCTACTGAAAAGGACTGACGTGCTAAATCAAATAAATTCGTAACAAAGGTTTTAAATTTATTTTCCAAAAACACGTCTTGCCTCAAAGAAATGTAAGAGCATTGATCATTAGGAACCAAAGTTCGGTAGAAAATAATTAATTGCTAATTTTAAAAAAATGTATGGTAGACATAGGTAAGTACTTTAACTGGAAAGCATTGCAAATATATGCTTCCGTTGCTTGTTTAGGTGCAGGGTGTCCGAATATCGTTGAATTTACTGGATATTTTGTATAATTTCTACTTGGTTTCTAAACAGAATACGGTACAACTTGAATAGTTACAAACGTTTCAATTTGCAATTTTTTTAAGATATTAATAACTTAAAACTATCGCTAATTTCAAATCAGTGCAAAAAAACACTCTATTTACCTTAAACTTTATGAAATCTTAGTCGCAAAAGATTAGGTGAGAATATTAAGATATTGCTGAAACAAAATTCGTGATTAAAAATGTTGAGGAGTAAAATGCCTATACTGTAAGTGCATTGTTAGGAACTACTCGAAATTAAATGTGAGAGATCGAATCTGGCGATCCAGCGCTCGTCTAAACAGTAGAAATACTACCGTTTCTCTCATTTTTTATTCTCAAAATCATGGATTGCGAAAAGTATTTCCGAAAGTTTGCGGGCTTCAACTTTTTCAATTGTATCGATTGGATGCAGTTGAAATTAACGCCAAGTATCCAGGGACGCAGCAAAATCGTGTCACTCTGTACCATTAATTGTATCATAAACAAACAATTAAGTTTAGGTAAAATTGTTAATATAATTAGACCCTTAAAAGCTTTTGTACTCGTCCTTAGCCACCTGCAGTTTTGCCAAATTCGCTACTCCGCTTGAAGCCTGCTTACCTGCGTCTTGTGATGGCGGAGCCCTACCGCCGCTACGCATGCCAAGTCCCTTTTCCATACAACCCGCCATAAGTAACAATACTCTTGTAGGACCCATGAGAATGCCGCCCCCAACCAGCGGAGGCATTAATGAGCCGCAAGAATGCCCGTACTGCAGGCGCACCTTCAGTTGTTACTACTCACTCAAAAGACACTTCCAGGATAAGCACGAACAGTCGGACACTCTCTATGTGTGCGAATTTTGCCATCGAAGGTACAGAACGAAGAACTCGTTGACCACGCACAAGAGTTTGCAGCATCGCGGTTCAAGTGGTATGTTAAAAAGACTACTGAAGACTACAGCCATTAAAAGTGTATTAGGAGCCGCAGTCAGTGTAAGTCCTCCGCAAGGAGTTCAAAGGCCAAAGTAAAATCACTGTTTGGAATTTTAAGTCTTTTATGTTAAATGTTCTTTTTTCAAAAGCCAACTGTCCATTTTTTGCAGGCGCTGAAACGCGTTTAGGCAATATATCGCTAAATTAGATTAATTTTCGTATTCACTTCACTCAAAAAACTAAACCGAACTAAGAAAAATGTTTTTTCATATTGTTATAAATGAACTACACATGCAATTTTTAAAGAAAATGAATATCTAAGCCATCCAGTTCAACAAAACATTAATGCATCATTTGTGAATGTATGTCGCACATTTTATTATAAATCCAGATATTTAAATAACATCCTTGAAATAGTATCTGAATAAGACATCATCAAAGAGTAGAAGTTAACAAACCTTTTTTTTCGATAATGCTTTTGCTTGACTTACCTTTACACTTTATTACGTTACAAAAAACCGGAAATAGAGAAATAAAAAAAAGTGTTTAAGAAAATACATTTAATTTGGATCCAAGCAAACAGTAATAAATGGCTGGGTGTGTGGGGGGGGGGTTCTTAAACCAAATTATTACTAAATTATTCGCAATAAGTGAGTAATTTTCAAATAGAGACTCTATAGTAAATAGATGCTTACTGCCACAGGATACCCAAGTTTTTGTTATGGAATTTTAATCACACATTAATGGTTCATTTCACCTTAAAGACGTGATATATTAGAGAAATATAGGGTGTGCAACACGTGAAAGTTTATATTGTTTTCAAATTATACTTTATAGCAGCATTTTAACACATTTTTTTATCTAATTATATGATATCAGATGATCACGAGCATCTTGGATGAGTTGGGCTTTGGCAATCATTGCTTGAAAGTGGTGAATTTCTCAAGCGTTCAGGATGGTAAATAAAATTTTACAGACGTTTTGCAAGCACAAGTGGTTTGCATCTTCAGAGGGGTTTGGCTCGAAATCTTACACTTTCAGCAAAAACATGTCAGGAAGACATTCTTTCCCATGACGCCCGAAAAGCCCAAAAATCAGTAGTTTCGTCTTCAGGGTGTTTTTTTTTTCAATTATATACCAAGTATAAGATCAAATATTGAGCTGAATAAAAAATCAATTATGTTTCAAATTGTAATGCAAATGCTAAATTGAGTATCGTAACATTTATGACATGATTAAAATTACGATTTTTGTGAAATAATCTCAATAAAGTTCTACACCTAAATTGCAAAGTTAAAGCAGTTATCTTAAAAGCAGCATTTTGAGTTTACCTTAGACTTTTTCAGAGCTATTTCTGAATAAGGGATTAGCCAAGTCCTGAATAGATATAATTCGAACCATTCAGGGTGTATGAATTCTTTAGTGTTGAAGGGGATCACTTCTAGTAAGAAAAACACTTAAAAAATCGAGGTGCATTTCTAAATTTCTGCAGATAGAAAATTAATAAAGGGAAGATCGAAACTAAGGCAAAAGGAAGTAAAACTCGAGTTATTGAGCCACTGATACCGATCAACCGGAACATTAATCGTCATTAATTGGACAATACATTTTCGATTTATTACTAAGAAGTCGTTTTATTTGTAGTTTTTAATTGATCGCTTTGGCCATTGGCACTTTTTTTCTTCAGGCCTAAGATTAACTAAATAATACAGAAATGGGCTGACTGATGGGTATGTTCGAAATTTCTATGTTTTTGGAAGTTTTTGGTTGCCTGTCGGTGTTTTAAAGATTATATTTTGAGCCAATTCGCTAGAAAAATAATAATTCAGAAAATCAGAGTCAACAGTTTTCACGATGGAATTTTATTATTTTTACAAATAGATGTTGAATTTAAGAAAAGGAAAAATAATTTTAAAGGGATATTCAGAAAGATCCACCATATAAAGCGATTGATGTGAGAAAATTAAATTGTACTGACGATTATTTTCATTTTTGCTGAAAAATACTTCTGCTTCTTAAAGGTGTTTAACTGTTTTATGTAGGAATGCAGCTTTTATTTTCTTATTCTCCGTAAAATATTTTGATTGTCACATTCTTTTTGCAAAAAGTTTGACTCAAAGTCAAACCAATCGTACATTCTGAAACTTTCACTTAAGGAAATCTGTTGGGTTCGATTTAAAATGAAAGTTTACTTCGATTTTTTGCACTATATATAGTGTTCATTTTTTCGTTTAGTTTTTCACTAAAAAAACCCTTTAGAAATTTAATCAAAAATATAATTGTAAACCATATACTTATGTAATAAGCTCATGGTATTATGCAGCCTGTTGCAAAATGCAATAGTGTCAAGTTTATTCCGAAAGCAAAGAAGTCTAAAGTCAAATTTGCTGGTCATAACTAAAGGTGTAATTTGAAAATTCTTGAGAAAAGGAACTTAGAAAACAGGACACATTAAAAAAAAATTATTTAATATTTTGTTTTATAGCAGCTGTTGGTTCTGTTCAACGCAAACAATTGAATTTTAGACTACGTTCTCAGGTTGTATGTTTTGTAAAATTTCTTTGATCGCCCAGTGAAGTAATTATTATTGCCCTATATTTTAATGTAGAGGTTCTGAAAATATGCCCTTGTTTCACAACCCGCCCTTCTTTGTTGAGTATATGGAAATTCAAAGCTCCTTTAAAAAAGCTCATTTTTCTTCCAATTTTAACAACATTTTGCAAATGCAAAAATTAATCTAATTCCGAATCACAACAATAATACCAAACAAGAATATTTAGATATGTTCAAATGCAATAAAATGGATAATTTGACTTGTAAAGATCACAATGTCACTGCCTTCTGGTGACGGCCTAGCCTCCACGAAAGTACAAACTAAAATAGAACATAAAACGTGTAACTTTATAAATTATTTTCTCTTGGTGTTTGAAAGGCTATTTTTAAGAAAACGGTATTGTATTCAACGCATCCATTTAATGTTCTTAAAATGGGTTTTTCCAAAAGTTCTATTTGAGTTGTTCAAAGCAGATACTCAAAATCTGAGAGCTAGATAAACAGAACGCAGCTTTCAGATTGTCCTGCATTGTGTTTGTGCTAAATAGATCACACAAATTATATAAATGTAAAAGCCCATTACAAGCTGTTTTAGAATACATGATTAGATGAAAACTACACTTTGGTATGAGTTTTCAACACTAAAACTGTGGAAGAATTAAATTACATATCGTACTCATATCAGAAAATGTATTCGTATTATTTGTATTGTGAAAGTGATCACACCATTATCAGCGATTGCGACGCACATAAAAGACTATCTTTCCTTAATAAGTTTTCTTTAAAAAACTCAACTAATTCATCGCGGCCAAATCCCATCACATACCATGTGTTTGTCCTAATAAAATAATCCCTCTGGATTGGCAGTATGCTTTTTGATCATTTTCTGGAGATATTACGCAGAAGTGGAAGATATTTTATTAAGGTAAATACGATAAGCAAAGCATTTGCTCATAAAATATTTAAAAGCAACTTAATAGTAAGTTATTAAGGCGCCTACATTTAAATAGTAGGCCCAACTAGAATTAATTGTATATGTACGTAACATATGTTATACTATGGTTTAATAATTGTTAAGTCTAAAAGCAGGTTTTCTATAAGGGAATGTTTCGCACTAAATCAATATTATTGAAGTAAGTGGATAATGCAAAACAATAAAATTACTTCAAAAATATTTTAATCTAAATTTACATATCTTCCCAGGGTTATATTATATCAATGTAAATAGAAATATGTGCCAATTTTTTCATTAAATTTGGTTAGTTACTTTTAAAATAATTAGTAGAAATAATTTTAAGTCAATATGAAATCATGTATGCCAAATCGTTTATTTGCGTGTTCTCAAAACAAGTTTGGGGTGATGGCAAAATTTTTTTATGAACGATCTTGCGTTCGAACTATTGTGATTATTTTGTGGTTATTTGTTTTGTCGGTGGTAATATTTTAGTTTAGGATGATTTATTAGAAATTGTTGTTTTTGATATTTTTGAAAATTGCTGTGATTGTTTATATTTAGATTGTACGTGTGTCAACTTCGAGAACATGCAAGTGAACTAGGTCTCAGCGACAACAACGATTTTGACCTTACTAAGAAAAAATGCATATTTTATTGATAATAGAAATCGACTTTCATACAGGAATATTTTTTCCGTTTGTTCAACTCTGAGGTTTTTGAGGAGTTTATGAAGCAATTGTTGACTTTAGAGGCAAGTAAAATTAATTTTGTAATAAATACAGCTATTTTTGTAGCACGTTTTGAAGCAAAAAAGCAAGCGCGTTAGATAGCGACTTTTTCCCAGATTTCAAAAACATATTTATTTCTTCAATTTCCTTCAAACATCACAGTAAGTGAAAAATACATTGAAGACAATTTTCAGAGGAGTCAAATTTTAGACGAGTTAACGCGTTTATTTAAATATTTATTTAATTACAATAATATCGCTATTTATCACATTCTACTATAATTTGGTAGTAACGAAAAGTACTAGTAACAAAAGCGCAAGAAAAGTAAAAATTCCTTAAGATGTCCAAGATAATAAATGTGCGCTAAACAGCTTGTTTTTTTTTAAGATTTTCGCAATTTTTTATGTTTTTAGACCACATACACACTGAGAATTGATTAGTTTTTCTGATATTATCAAGCCGCTGTAGATTCTGGTATTATAACTGTCGACGTCTTCAAACAACTTTAATTTATTACAAATATATTTTGGTAACATTAAACAAACCTTTTTTAGTTTGGAGAATATTCAACACTTCAATAATTGTCCCAATTGGTGTATATTTACTGCAATCCAAACTGGTTCTCAATGCTCTATTCTCCACAATTTGCAGCTGTAATGTAAAGGTAGAGCACTTATTTGTCAACAACAGTACTTCCAAATATTTAATCTCCTTTACTTGTTTCCTGTTATAACCGTGTACAATATTCTCGTCATGCAGATTAAAGCTACTAAATTTATGTTTTATTTTTCAAATATACGGAACTTTGATTTTACACCCGATAATTGATTTTGAAGGGTTTAGACTCAATTTGTGTCTACAGAGCCACCGAAATTAGTTTTGCACGCTCATCTACAACAGGTCGTAGGTCGAAGTCAAGTCCAAGAAATATAAAATTTTCCTAATCCATGTCTGCATAAATTTCACACACATTAACCACAACAGACTCACATAGATAATGTTCACAAAACCGTGACTGATTTACCGCTCAAAAATTTTTCGTAAATTTCAATAGTAGCTCTTGGCCTGAATATATTGAGAATCTATTTATGCTTTGCAGCTTTGCAATAGAAATCACTTCAATGCTTCTCGAAAATGGACATTTGTTAATGAAGTATTAATAACATCTAACGATTAGATAGCAGCAAATAAAACTTTTTTTGAAACTCCTGCAGCGATTCACTTTTTTGAATTGTTTTCTATCTTTTTAGTATTACTTTTAAAGAGTATTTTAAATTTCGACAACTCACTGCACGCATAAAAGCCCCAAAAAGCACTTCATCCAATATAAAATACTATTTATGACTTCATGTATACTGTTTATAAAACAATTGAAAAAGTTATGGATTAAGCGTGCTCATTTCAAACAGTCTCTCCAACAGAAAGAACTTTATGGGAAACAAATTATTACACTTTGTCCAGGTAGGAATACTTTCAGGCTTTTCCACTTTTCGTTGATTGTTATTTATAACTTCTCCGAAATATTTATATTTTTCAATTTTTATTTGGTTAACCAGTTGTTAAGGTTTTGACCTGTTATAAACTCCATGTATCTTGTAGACGACCTTCCTCTTGATCTTTCGCCAGGGACTGTCCCTTCCAAAGTGTGTCTCAAGACCATTTCTTCTAACCACATGACGAAAGAATTTAGCTATTTTCTCCGCTACCACAATTTTCAATCTCTTCTTAATTCTGAGTTGGTCCAGAATGGATTGGTTGGTTCTTTTCTCAGTCCAAGACACTCTCAAGATTCTGCGCAAACAAAACATTTCGAAGGCATCTATCTTCCGCTTTTCCGTCTTCCGGTAGTCCGGCATTCTGATCCATTTGTGTAAACACATAGTTGCGCATATTTTTTACACACTCCTGTCTACAACATAATTTTTTAATAATTTTTCTATATCATTGTTCTGCCTAACTGCTCTAACATACGGAAAACACTATGCTTTTTGCCTAATACCCAACAGTTATCTAAGCCTTTTGGAAGTTGGCGTCTGTTTAACATCAGATATATTTAAAGAATCTGATACGTTGCGATATTTAACACTTCATTGATTGAAAGCAATATTGCAATTTTTTATCATTTGATCTACATTCCAGCAAGGGGATTATCAGGTAAAAATAGTTTTTATTTTGCGACCACTACGAGAAATAAATGAAAATAAGATCCTAAAACCGTAAAATCTTAGTATTCACATACTTTCACCCTTATTGAGTGGAATTTTAAAAAAATTGTAAATAAATAAATATTTAAAACAACATGTTATCGGCTTCTTAAATTGAGAGAAACTCAAATAATAACACTATGATAAAGATAGTAATGCAATACCGGAAATACCGAAAACGAAGAAAATAAGTCCGCAATTTTTTTTTATTAACCTTTAACAGTTTAACAATACTAAATAGATTTATAATACCTTTTTTTATAAAAAAAATCGATTCTGTGCTAAACTCCATGAAAGAGTGGTCGAAGACCACCAGCAACTGTATAAAAATTGGCTTCATTGAATATCATGCAGTTGAATTAATTTGCTTCAAAAACTAAAAGTCCCTATTGAGTTTCCAGCAATCATCTAAAGCATTTAATCAAAAATGATTTCTGAAATCTCGTCGAAATCGTCGTTGTATTTGTTGTGCCACACTAAATTAAGCTTTGATCTGAACCAAGTAGGCACGGTTATTTCTAGTTGAAACCGTTTAAGCATACATTTATATGACTGTATCTTTAGTGCTGTGACTTTATTAATATTTACACACTTTCGGGATTAAAAAAAATTATTGTCTGATTAGGTTTAAAAAAATATATTTATTTTATTTTGTGATATGGCCCTACCAAAGAAAAATTTGAATTTGAAATTACATTTTTTGCGAAAAGAAAAACAAATTACCGGTTTGCATCACATTCTGATAAACGTGCCATTGAGAAGTTAAGATTTTGAAACGATATCTCTAGGTGTCCATTGTTTTAGTGTATTCAAATACCGCTGGGGTTATGCATTTTTGTCCGAAATTCACGTATTTGCTGTTGGTTTTTGTTTACAGCCACTTTAGGTTTGTGCATCGTTTTAGTATTATTGCCGACCAGTTCACCTTTTAATGAATAGATCTGCATTATAAATAAAATTATCAATGTATTTCGCAGCATGTTACTTAAACAGCAGTTCTAATAAGGTAGGTAGCGACATTTATTAAAAGGTGAAATTAATATAGCGGATGTATACCAAACCAGCAATGTATAGGTTGTCTATTAACTTTTTTTATGTAAAAATATTTTAATTATATTAATAATAAGTTATTAGAATAGGTTTTTACAAATAAGCGTTGATCGTTACTATTAGGAAAAATCAAGCATATCTACGTTCATGCCAGGCATATTTTACGAAGAAGTGAAAACTATATCAAGGAATCACTACCAGTATTAAAATTTGTACCTATAAAAACGGTAGCAAATTATCAGATATTTTACATACAAGTGAAAATTACTTCATAAAGTATACATATGTAGATGTTTAAATTAAGACTCTAATTTAGAAAGCTCTTTGGACTTGGAAAAAATATTTTAATAATTTATTGATGGACAAAATATTAGGTATACGCGCTATCTATAAAAAGAAAACAAATCCGGTGATAGTCTACGTCTTGTTGCAACTGCAACGTAAGCTATTATCACTTTTATCTAAAATTGCAGCCATACAATTCGAAAATGATAACGTTAATTAACATATTCTGAGTCTAAATTAATTCTCAGGGAAATACCATATACCTCTATTTTCATAATATCACATTTTTAGACTCAGAACGACTCGTCATTGCGTAAAATCATTTGAAAATATATGAAGTTCACATCATTGCAATACGAAAAGTTAGAATAGTTTTGTCTCCATAATCGACTACACTGCCGTAATTTTTCGAGTAAAATTCATTCGAAGAAATCTAATTAAAATAGGAGTCTGAAGCGCACTAATTCAAGTTTAATAAAACTCGATGAATACCATTCATGAAAAGGAAATACTGTTTTAGACAATTTAGAAACCATTATTATTGCAATGTTTTAGCGCGTATCAGACCTGAAATGTAACAAGCTGCCTTGATATCAGTACAACAAACACATATTTTTAAACTACATGCTATGAAAGAAACTTTCCAACCAAAGAAGCATATGTTTCATCCACACCATATGCCTTTTTGGCCCGAAGTCCTTAAAATGAAAAATATTACCTCAATACTCAGAATATCTGCAGATGTACTTATATTGTGAAATGTATTTAATGTAAGAAGTCAATGAAACAAGATCACAAAAAATCTGTACAAACAAAATCTACTATTTGTAATTTTTTTTGTTGAAAATGCTACAACATTGCTTATCATAAATCATACACTAATGAAAACTCACTTACGTAGTAAGTTATGATTATTCATTTCACTCATCAGGTAGTTATTATTAATGAATCCGTAATACAACTCAGGAGCATCGTCTGTAAACTGTAAATGTGTAGCATTTTAAAGACGTGTTTATATTCAATCACTTGGATGATTTTTTCTTAAACCGCAACCATGTACATATTAGTAGTTTTTGCTTTCGGGATATGATTTCATTTTTATCAGCTGATCAATTGGAAACAGTGCTACAGTCAAACAATGCCTGGATAACGTACCTTAACAATAGAACTATTTATTGTTAAAAATAGCCGCTATTTTTGTCAAGTATAGTGACCTACAGATTTGATGTAGCACTGTTCAAATTAGCAAATGCTTCCACTTTTATGTTTAAGAATTGATCATTTAAATTTTATAATACTTAGGATGATACTTTTTGTTATAAATATTACAATATAATTGTTGGTGTAATAAAAGTATTAAAACAATCTTGAAACCATGAATGTTTTTTGTCTTTGCCTTTGCATTTGCTATTTGAAAATAAGTAAAATCCCATCAGAGCTCTTGCAGTAAATTTCTTAAATTGTTTCACTCGGCGTTCTCTTTCACCTCTGGAAATTAGCCTAAAAGGATCTAAGAAAGAACTAAAGGATCCAGAAAATTTAATAAAAACTTGAAACCAGAAAAGGTTAGGTAAAGAAAAAAATAGCATGCATCTATGCATAGAATGAAGATGAATGAATCACATAAAATAAAAGTCTTGTTTGGACTGTCGAATCACAATTTTATTACATTTTTTAAATAATGATTTATTGTATAGCATTGCTACAACTCTTAAACGCGACACTTTAATATGAATAAAATAATTCGCACGAAAACCCATATTACTCACTGGTGGATGGATCAGAGTCAGTGGAAGAAGTCTCGTCATCTTCACTAAGACCTGGCAACGGTTGATTCGTGACCAAAAGGCCATGTTCCCAAAGAGAGAAAACAAGACTTAATTTAGCGGTTTCATCTTCTATTGGCAAGCTGTCAGCAACTGCATAAGAAATAAATTTACTTAATTATACTAATAGAGCATGAAATTACAGAAGTATTAAATGAACTCCACATGCTCGCAAATGTAAGTAATACTTGTTATACATTATACATACCAACAAAATTTGGATAAGATTTCTGTAATACTTCAATTGCCGGTAATAAGGAATTGCTAATCTCCAGCCATTGTTCCTCTTCGCCATGATAAACTTTGTCATTATGAGTGCAAAAGTACAATTTTGACGTAGTTGTTGAATCTTTTACCACCCTCAAGGCGTAATATCTCAAAAGTCGTATTTCAATTTCTGGAGTGATCTCCACCCTAAAATAGAAAACTTTAGATATTATAAAACTTCCCTCAACTGACAATTGAATATTTAACTCACGCATACTTAAAATTATTCACACAAGTAATTTTATAAACAAGCTTTGCATAAAGTACCGGGCAATAAATCACACTGGTTGCATACAAATAGCTCCCAAGAAATAATATAAGTACCTATGAAAAACCTTTCCATTTTTCATTACGTCCCCATCATATAAACACGAATGTTGAGCCTCATCTCCGGAATATAAGGGCGGCATTGCATCATGCATAAATTTGCGACCTAAATTGTCTGCAGCTGAATCAACATCTATATAATCAACTAAGGCACCAACTAATGACTTGACCTTATCTATAATAGATTTTCTTTTATCTGAATCGTCGCTTTGATTTACAACACCAACATGTTTTAGGTAATTTAAAGGAAGCCCTTTCCTAAAACAAAAATATTAGTAACATTAAAAATTAGTTTAATTGAATTAAAAATGCAAATTTTGGGACTCCCTGTACATCTCAAAATAAGATTTAAATGTACCCCTGGTTTGGCCCCAATCTTCCGTTTCATACAACTCCAATTTATATATAATATATGTATATAAACTTTTAATTGTAAACCAGAAAATACGGACACCTATTTTTAACATAATCTTTTTTCAAAGAGCAATGAATTGTAGTAAATTGATTGGGTCTGCCTTGCTAATTCCTCTACGATATTAAATTATAATTTTAAAATGCAAAACTCGATAAGGATGCCATAGAAAAATTACTCGAATCAGTTATATGGTAATGTTCAGTCTGTGAAACTCACCTGAATTCCAAATTTTCACTTGCAGCTTTCTTTAAAGCGGCTGGAAGTGCATGCTCGAGAAGGTCTGCATATGCAGTATGCTGATAGACAGATATCGTGATGTGTAAAGAATGTTGTTCTTTTGTATGGCCTTAAATGCATAAAAATTGGTCAATTTAAGGATACAAGAAATAAAAAATGAAGATACAAGTTTAACATATTAATAGTTTGTAAAATACCCTCATGAATTGTTCCCCGTGGAAAGTACAGTAAGTCGCCTGCATTTAACTTTACTTCCATAAAAGGATCATCCAACTCTTCAGCACTAAAATTTTTACTTGAATCCCGCGCAAGCACGTCGCTTCCTCTGCAATTAAATATTGATTGAACAGTTGTCCCAGTGGCGATGTTTGAAGTAATTGTACATTAAGTTTAGTAAGAAAAATTAAGTTATAATTAACTAAGAAAGTTATTCTAAACATACTTGGGTTTATACAACTTCCAATATTTACTTCCTTCAAGCTGAACAATAAAAGCTTCAATATCATCAAAATGTGGTGCAAATCCTTGACTTTCTGGGGGCGTCAAATATACATTAGTGCCTACCATAGTACCAAAATATTCTTGTAGGCTTGATATTACTGAGTGAACATTCTGACTATAAGTGTGTGGATTTAAAACTCTCACACTACAACCACTGGAATAGAAATCCCAAACTTTGACTGGTGCAGCTCTCCCTAAAATGGTTTTATATAAAATAAATAATTACAATACCGTTTTTGGATAGACAGAGGAAAAGTAAATTGTAAATGTAGCTAATACGTAAGTGTTTACGCAATGTTCTACTGTCTAAGTTGATTCCGAAATTGTAGATCCTGTCAATTAACGACCGCATCTGTTCTCTGCATCAACAATTGTGTTCTGAACATCAAATTCATTTATATATAAAAGGGATTTTGTTATGTCCAAATGTAGACCTTCCAAATCGAGTTTGTTCAATTTTGTTAATGCCAAATATGTTTGGAATATTTAATAATTTATCTCCAATCTCGTCTTCATTACTTCACTTAATTCGATAATGAGAATATTTCCCCTTTTTTTTTGAAAATAAATTTTTAGTAAACATCAAAGAAACAACAGGCATTTGCCAAACATTAATTGCAATTTGCTTTCATTGCAATCGTAACTGTATCGTATATGGAATAAAGTTAACGGCTTAAATTAATTGCTTGTACAAATATGTAGGTTGTACAAATTGAATATTAAATTCATTTCAAGACTTGTAATACATTTTTTGCAAGAAAATTAGTTCTTTTATTAATTAATCGACGTAAGTTTCTTATGCTTCAAAATCCCTAAATAACAAGTTTAGTCCAAATATCGATATTACATCAAAAATTATTTTGAAAAAACACAAACTAAAATTAATCATTCAACATCCTATAGCTCAGTAAGACAAGATCTTCATATAGGAATGACTATATGGACTTTTTGACTTTAATCGCCCTGTGAAAAATCGGGCACTTATTACAAATCACCACCTTTTAAAAATAATAATTCAAAAAGTAGGATATAAAATATGTTATTAACGCAGATGCAATATTAATATGTATTAGAAACACATAGAAAACTCTCTTGGAAACGATATATTTTCGAAGATATGCTTAAAGGAAGTTCTTTCGTTAAAATGACGGATTTAATAGATCATCCCCAAATATATTGTCTTTTTAAAATGCCCTGTTTAGAAGTAGATTGCTCACCTTCTGATAAGAAATTATTCTTGCCCTCAGTGTATTTAAGACAACTCATTTAGCGTAGTATATATATATTGCTAGGTTTGTTTAGAGAATACTAAATGAAGTAGATAAAAATATCTGTGTTCTTTGCCAAATTCAGACAATCAACAATTGAATTAAAATTTCTAAACAATTTTCTAAAATTGTATAGTTACCTTCCTCTTCTACAAGTTCCTTTTTACCATTCTTGTATTCTACTACATCTATATTCCTAGTGAAAAATAAAGGATACTCTCTCAAAATAATATCTAGCTCCTCTGTACTAAATATATCCTTGAAGTATCTTCTATTTTCTCGTTCAATGTGTAGCACATCTTTTTCCCAATATTTATCAAAGAATTTCTTGGGCAGAATCGGATCTATAAGCCACTTAAAAATGGCCAATCCTTGAGTGACAGGATTGAATACTGTAGAATATCCGTGATCAAGTAATTCAGGTTTTTTAGAGGATTTCTTAAGTGTTTTATTCTTCTCGGTTGGTTTTTTGCTCGACTTGCCATTGCAGGAAAGAACACTTTTTTTAGTTACATCTAGACTCGTCTCGTCTTTACTGTTGATACCTTTCTTAGGTACCGCTGTACCTTCTATAGGTATCAACATGGGTATTTCTTCCTCATCACTAGAATCACTGATTTGATGTCTTTTCTGATTTGGCGAAATTTTGCCTGATTTGGTTTTTCGGGTCTTTTTAGCCTTAGCTTTTTGGGCCATTGCTGCGTTTTCATTTGCTTTTTTTAATTGCTTAACTGGTAAGTTACTTTTTTGCTTTTTGGGCAACACATCGTTTGCAGCAATTGCGGTTCGTTTCCTTTTATTTTGCTTTTGATAAACTTCAAAAGCAGATTGTTGTGCCTCCATTAATTTGCCTTTAATATATTAACGTAAAACTGAACAGTTTTAAACGCTAAACACGTTTACATTCAACGAAATATAAAATGTGTCTCCAGAATTGAGAAAACCGCTTATCAAAACTAGGGTTATAATGAAATTTATCACATGTCACATGTTCTTCTATTTTCATCTTCTCCTTGTTTGATCAGCTAGTGATTCACACAATCAATAAAAATTGAACTCCTTGACATATGGATTACGCTTATTGGGATCAAGAAAGTTTGCGACTAATTGCAGAATTATTTTTATTAATTATGCAATTATCTTGAAATGTATGAATAATATTAGCCCACTGAGTAACTTTGACAACGCAGCGAAAAGTATCTGAAGATGCCACAAAAACTGAGACTAACCCTGACTAACCTAACTTTATCTTACAAGTGCAACTTGTTTATTTACCTATATAATTAATACACCTACAAAAATACCAACAATATATACAGATGGATGAAAACAGCTTATTACAAAATGTTCCTCAGCTTGTGGAAGATGTTGAAGAAGATTGTGATAATTCTAGCGCTTCAGATGCAGATGAGCCAGGTACTACTCAATGAAGCCCCATTGGGAGCAATATCCACATTCTCTGCCAAATAATATGTTTGCAGATGTGTCCAAACCGAAAAAAAATACCTCAAAACTTTCCGTTCATCTGAGGGGCCTTATGGGCGAAGCTAATTTGAGATTTGCCAGAGGAGAAGTGGAATTAGCTAAGAAAATGTGTTTTGAAGTTATCAGACAGTCTCCTGAAGCCTTTGAGCCATACTTAACTTTAGCACAAATGTACGAAAATCAGAACATTAAAAAATATCGAGGTGGAACAGGAATTGATTTACAAAATCAGCAGTATTTATATAATAATATTTATAGGATTTCTAATGCTTGCTGGTCATTTACAACCATCAAATGCTGATATTTGGATCCGCTTGGCTGATGTCGAATTTCAGGAGAATAAAATATCCGCAGCAGTTAGTTGTTATAACAAGGCGATTAGGGCCGAACCCAGAAATATTGATTTACATATGAAAAGATTGACTTTGGTACAAGAAAAAGGTAGGAACATGTATTGTTCAGGCGGAACTGTTATCACCAAAAAATCTAAAATTATTTCAGTTCCAACTAGATCAAAAAGCATTCCTCTCTTAAAACTGAACATGGCCAAAGCTCTACCTAAAAGCAAACATGCTCAAATATTGCAGATTTGTACTGAAGTAGCCAACGACTACTTTAAAGTTAAAAATTACCCCAAAGCGATTGAAGCTTTGCAAATATGCACTAGACGGATACCAAACAACACCACTGAAGATGTGCTGAATATGATGTTGGAATTATTGCTCTTAAGCGAAAGGTATTTATATGCGTAAATTTGTTCAGTAGCTATTATTAATTGTAATTAACTTTTTTTGGTCATTTATAATAAAAGGTACTGCCCAGGTTTGACGCCCAGCTATGTAAGGCAAAGTACCAGGAACAAAATTATAAAGTATTTTTTAGTCTTTGTGTACGTACTTACTTGTGAGTGTCGTACTTTCTTGAGATATCTAGAGTTTCGTCTATTGGAAATTGATGGGGGTCCAAGCAGGGACTGGGGTTCTGCACCTTGCAAGGACATTTTAAAAATAATTATAAAATATGGAACAATCGACGGGTGCCCAGATTTATCCAAAATATCTAATGTTTCATGGCCCATATTTGAACAAAAAAATGTTGAACAGGCATCGAGCCCTATAGTCCATTAGAGATTAGTAGATATAATACGGAAAACAATCTTGCGCATAAAAAAATTGTGTGATCCAATGGGGTGGAAGGCTTGTTACATAAACACCCCCGTAAATTTGAAACCATTAGCATTTAAAGTATCTTTTAATTATTTTTTTCCAGATATTCAGAATGTCTGGATATATTCAATCAGTTCTGTGGCTTTCAGTTTGATATAACTCTAGGTGAAGGAACATCTATCACTATCAATTCCTTTGTCATTCCTGCAAATTTACATGTAAGTATATAACTGTACCTGGAAAACCAGTGGATATTTCGTTACTTGTAGATATCAAAATTATTTTTAATTAAAGTTGCTCTCATAGTGATAAAGTTGGTAACAAACTAGCAAAATATAAATTGGCATTGAGTGCAAAATTTTCAATGATTATGCGAAATAATGCTTTCGGATAATATTACTAATGAAAAATATTAGAAAAGTAGCTATCAATAGCGAAACTTCTGATTTTAAGAAGGAAATTTGATATAATTGTATTTTAATATACAAGGTGTTGAAATGAAAGGAGACAGTATTTCGAAAATTACTTCATAATCATACTTATACAGGGTGCCCCGTAAATTTTCGACAATACTTCGCATGACAAAAGGTCCATCCCCTTGAATTAAAATGGAAAAATGGTTTCAAGCTATTTACACTTTTTTGCAAATTAAACAAAACTGAGATCCTTGATATTGTGTCGTATTACTCTTATGTAATATTACGCAGAAAATATTATTTGGCATTTTAATTACGACAGTGATCGTAGCTCAAAGTATCAAAAGATTTGCATCAAATCATTATCATTATCAAATTTTGCATGTATGCTTTGTATTAAAAAAAACTTTATTTTAATACATTTCTATTACCTACTGTAGCGGTTTGACTGCATTCTGCAGCACGGGATGGATAGTTTATCTTGGTGCCATAAGCGCAAAAATTGCACCGTTCTTTTGTAATCTGAAATGGTATCTGAATCTGAAAGGATCGACATGTATTTATAGTATTTGCAGCAGGTAGGGGCTAATTGTGCCCCTAAATAAACTAAAAAAACCTAAATTTATTAGTCCAAAAGTTGAGGCATTTGCAATGTGCACCGCTGACATTTTTTCTATTTACTCTTGCTCCAATATTTTGGAGATAATAAAAATATATAAAAACTCTTTAGCTATAAAACAAATGACGAAAAGGGTTATATTGAAAATAAATCATTTTCGGACTTATAATCATATAAACGTTTCTTCTTAAAATAACTCAAAGAATCACCTCGTCCCAGTTAGGCTACGAAATTAAATAACACCCTGCATGTTTGACATTACAGCTTGATATCATCACAAAATTCATTGTGTGTCTCATCGGACTGCAGTCCTATCATTTAGCAGAAGGACTTTTAAAGGAAATGCTAGAAAAAGATGATATGGAAGTGAACGGCATGCTCTACTTTGATATAGCTGAAGCACTGATGTCTTCAATGTATTATAAGGAGGCCTTAACTATACTAATTCCTTTAGTCAAAACGAAATCATTTTCGTTGGCAGCCATTTGGTTAAAACATGCTGAATGTTTGACGCACTTGAATTTATTTGATCAGGTATAAACGACGGTTAGATATCAGAAAATATTTCTATTTGAAAAATTTTAGGCCATTGAAGCGTATTCCTCTGTGATAAAATTAGCTCCTAATCATGTAGATGTTCTGTATCCTTTAGCTATGTTGTTATTAAAGCAAGACAGGAAACAGGAGGCATTGGAAGTTTTGTCACAAGATCTAAGGTCCATTATTTTAATTATGTTTATTACGTGCCAATTAAACATTTTTTAGGTTTAAAGTTTAATTTGTACTAAACATAATTCTTCTATATTTTAGTTCAGGAAAGTTACATGTCGCTGTTCTGATCGAGCAAATGAAATTGCTGAAGCAAATAGGAGATCTAGAAAATTATTGGAAATGTTGTGAGCTACTTCTCTCTAGGCATTGCATAGTCTATAAACATTACTCCGAGCTTCGAATTGGCTTATTATCAAGAGCCTCAGTTCTTGCAAAGAAACAAAAGATTGCACGAATGAGGATGGTTCAAAAAGATTATGACGCCTTAGAATTAAATTTGGAAAGTATGGCGGCTAATTTTAGTCATTCAGCGACTTCAATCATTAGTGTTCGCTTTCAGATATATTTGAACCATCGGTTGAAGATGAATATAAGTTATACTTAAATATTCTTCAATTTGCGTTTGAAAATAGGGAATATACACAGCTTCAAAAATTTGCTTTCATGGGACTTGCATCCAAGCGCTTTCAGTCATATTTTCGTATGTATACGTTAATTTTATTTGCTAGAAAAGTGTTGATTGGTTTTACGTGAAAGGTTTATTGTTTTGTAATTTGCAGATCAGATATTCCTTATAGCCTGCTACGCATGTATTTTCAGCAAAGATTTTTACCATGGCTATATAATTGCCAAGGATTTGCTCGTACATAATCCTAACAACAATAATGCTTGGAATTTATATTCCATAATAGTTAGCAAATCGGACGAAGAAACTAAAATGGGCAGACTCTTTGGTAAGTCAAATGGAGCTTCTCACACAAATCTTTGCACATAAAAAAATTATAAGTAAAGAAAGCTGAAAAATTATAAGTCTTTGAACGTGAACTTAAGAGGCAGATTTGTACTAATAATAAATTATTTCATGCTCATCAATTTTGCTGATTAGATTCGCCATCATTAAAAGGGAAGTTGCCAATGAATCTTGCAGAACTAGTTAAAGCAAACCATTGTTGCGCAGTGGCGCACTATGCCGACTGCTTAAACTATTTTTTAAAAGAATACAAAAACACTCAATCCTCATATTCTGCATTCATGATAGGTAAGTAAAAATTATTTTTATTAACGCTTTTGGAAAAGCATGTGTAAAGTTTTAATTTGAAAAGTTTAACAATACGTTAGAAGGCTACTAGTGTTTTTAATTGAGAAAATTTTCAACCTCCTCCCTTGACAGAAATACATCCACCTGTAGTATCGCAGATGCATTGCTAAAAAGTACCTTTTATAGCCTATTTTCTTGCGAAATTATTGAGCGAAAGTTTGGGATTAATGCCCCTGAAACAGTTGAGATTAGCTTAAAGTAGTACGAAACATTTTGAGACAATGCAACATGCGTGGCAAAAACCATTTTCCATTAAACAAATGCTCTACGAGGACTTCTTAATATTATGCTAAATTATTAAGTATAATGTTTATTCTGAGTGAACATTTCAAGAACTAACTTATACATCTCACGAATCCATATATTGAGCAGTGTTTTGTACATTAAGCCTGTATTCAAATCTGAAAAAATATTTATTGGAAGCGGTTGATAAAGTTTGAAGGACCATTTTAGTAGAGCATTTCCAAAATTTTTTAGTTTTTGATAGAGTGCTGCTTTCAATCTGAATCAGACTTAAGCATTTTTGAGTTCCATTAAAAGAGCAGTATTATATTTTTTAACAGAAGGTATGCCTCGACATCATGCTTTCGAATATTTCTATTTCCTAACCAGATATTTTCAACCCTTTTAATTCAATGCCTCATCATTTTCGATCAAACTCCGCACCCGTGTGGCGTTTTCGAAATATAAATGCTCAAAGTCTATGACTTTGGGTCCCCCGAAGAAGAAAGCCCTGTTTCGATTTGAGCACCGATTGGTTAAATCAACGTTAATTAGTCCAGTCGATGAGAACTCCAATATGTGTGCCAAGTTTCAGCTTAATATCTTGACAAATTCCACATAGGCAGACAAAACAAAAAACTTGGTTTTTCTTCGACTCTACAAGTAGTTTTTTTGCCAGGCGGATTTTAATAGTAAACCACAGTGTATCAGTGTGATAAAAAAACTACCATGTTATTTTTCAAAATCGGAGCAAATATAAATTGTACTTGACGCCAAACTTTACATATGTGCCTTTATGCATTTTCACATTTCATGGATATTTTTAAACACTGTTTACCTTTATTAGGATTAACAATGTTGCAACAATACTGCCAGAGGAAGAAGAACACTATTCAGAAGAAATCGATGGTGGAAACTGTAACGTATCTATTTTTTAATTATGCAAACAATCGCAGCAAATATGCCCAACAAGAAGTTTACTACAATTTAGGAAGAATGTACCAACAAATTAGAGTTTTTTATTTGGCTGAGCATTTTTATAAGCTGGTTAGACCCATTACACCTAATTGAACTTCAGGGTTTGCTAACAATGTGGGTTTTTATGTTAATGTTCCAGGTATTTCAAGTCCAAAACGAATTTGTCGATGCCCATCCAGACTATTTAGATCTCAAAAAGGAAGCCGCTTATAATCTTCACTTAATTTATAAAACATCAGGAAACTTAGCGGCTGCTCGGCAAGTATTGTGGAAGTATATTGTAATAGAATAAGTTTAACTAATACAACCCTTATAAACTGTATACTTATTGTTTGATTTAGCAGTGTTTCTATCAGTCAGAAGGGAAATTTTCAGCACAGCAAGTGCTGAAGGAAATTTCCTAGAAGTCCTCAGAAACCTTGTGCTAAAAAAAGTGCTAATTTCTTTCAAACATTGCAAACCGAAAGAAATTTTTTAGTTCCGGTGCAGCCCTTAACAGTGTGTCAATATAGAATATGGGTTCAGCTTCGGTTCCGGTCCAGAAATAAAACCGGTTTCCTTCCGGGTCTCCGCTCCCTGATATGAAGGTTTTTCGTGAGAAGAAATTGTTTAAAAATTAGAATAAATTAAGAAGCACCCTGCATAGTCCAGATCCGGTCCTGCCGACCCCAACAAACGCAGAAGGGTTCTAAAGAAACGCGCGTTGTCGCCTAGTTACCCGAAATGATACAAATAAAGTCATTATTAAAAGCGAATGGAAAACATACATAAAAATGTAATAAATCGTCAATCTCCCAGAACATAATACCAAGATTAATCGCAAGTAATATTGTTTTGAAGAAAAAAACTCAAAGAGAAAATGCCTATTTTTGGTAGCAAATTTTCTCCAAGAAAAACACCCATTAGAAAAAGCAATGTCAACGTAAATTCTGATAAGCTCCTGGAAGACTTAGTTGGGGAGCACAACTTTGTGAAAGTATCACTTGGTGATCAGGAATTAGTGTTTGATAATGGTGAATGGATACCGAGTAAGTAAAAGAGATTTTTAAAGTGATTTTCAGTTGATCCAATGTAAATTAAAAGTCTAGTTTAAAATATAACTTTGTCAAAAGCCTAGACAAAAATAACTATGTCTATTAAACATAATCCGGAAAACTTATAAAAATGGTTTAATATACAAAACAGTCTGAAACGTGATGTAACAATTAAGCAACAAAGTGAATTTAATACGAAGAAATGTATTGAATTCACTTATATGATTTGAAGGTTCTGGCAAAAACAGTTCTACTCATAAAGTAAACCAAAAGCTAAAGAAAAAAAACCAGGAGCTTCAAGAGGAAAACAACCTGCTCAGAATTAAGTATGAACTAATTTTAAATATGGTAAGTAATACGTTGGGAAATAAATATATTTAATTACAAGAAAACTTGGAACAGTTGGTTCTATTTTTCATTCTCAGGTTCCCAAAGTTTGTAATGCAAACATTAAATAAACCTTTAATTCTACACAAAATTTGTTAAGAGCCTATTGCATTACAAAAAATGACATGCATTTTAAGAAATATTTGTTGTTACATCAGACCATTCATTTAATAAAATCGATATCGACTCTTTTGATCTTTCGTTTCCGGAGCTTCGTAAGTCTCTCAATATTTTTTAAATTTCATAGAAAAAAAGATAAACAACCGATTTTTGAACCTCGAAATGTTGCTTCTTAACGAATCTTCTTTAAAACGATATGGCATAGTAAAAAACAGGTAATGAGATTACGTACGATCTTCCAATTAAATGCGATCATTTTTCATTGACATCGAATTATTATTTGATGACAATAGTTATCTGAAATCACCGCCGGGCATCAAACGAAAGAAAAGGAGCTGGACAAATGCCGAAAATCAACAAAACGATTGGCAGCAACGTTTCCCAGTTGAGCATCCAGTTGTTCATATGATTTTGACTATTATTTAACGATGTATTTTTTTAGATAAATAAAATATTTCAAGCGTATGATTCGTGATTCATTTTTTACAATAGTAGTGAATTTAGAAATGATATAGAATTTTATTTGTATCTACCGACTACAACGAACTACATAGAAAAACATTATTAATACAAGATCTTGACAAAAGAGAATTAAATAAATTAAAACTAATTGAATGGCGACATCTCGCTCTTGAATACTTTATACAATGAATCGGTATGAATGGCTTCTTAGTTGGGGCAGTGGTTTTTGGTGTGTCCTAAAACAAATAAATTGAATAGCAAACAAAAGCACCTACAAAATATTTTGATTGCATTCTTATTATTTATTTTATGAACTATTGCCTTAATCGTCTCGCTATTTAAATGAAATAAAATACATTCCTATTAGTAGAATACAAAATAGGAGAAAAATTAAGTTGGTCGCAATTTGTTTTGATGCTACTTTGCAATAAATTTATTTAAACACAAACCCCTGAACGTTGTTTTTGAATATACAATTCAACTTACCTTCTTGTGCACATTTTCCACATTTTCGTTTGGCTCTTGTTCCTGAAGGTCCAGCCCCCTTTGTTTTTGTATATGGAGCTGTTCCAGTATTCGTTTTTTTGCCCTTCCCTCTCGACGTCTTATGCTTAAAACTCCAATTGAGATTCGTTCCACCATCTCCCCCACCTCCTCCGCCCCCAAAATCATCGCCGTCATTTCCTCCGCCTGCGTTGGGAACCTGGCAAAAAAGTTTAAAACAGTCAGCAATATTTTAATTTAATAACGTATATTTTACCTCATCAGCCCATTGGAAGAACTTGCAACCATCCACCATAATACTACAACAATAAAATTGTCTTCCTTTATTTGGTCCGTCTTTGTTAACCGTTCTCAGAACAGCCTTTTGATTACATCTGCACATCACATCCACATGGCTACTCCTTCCCGCACTAGTTGCAGTTTGGTTGTCGGGGATAGTGGTGTTTGAATCGTTGGAATCCCATAAGAAAAAACTACAAGCAGACTGTGCGCATTTATAGAACTGTCTTCCTAAAACACAATTATAATATTATATTAAGCACAGCCAACCAGCTACCCACAACTAAAAAACTAAAGAATTTATCGCTTTCTATGGAATAATTTCAACTTACCTTTGTTTGGTCCATCTTTTCTCACTGTTAGCAGAACCGCCTGCTGTTCACATTGACAAACTATATCAGTATTATTAGAAGAATTTTCAACATTTCCGTTATTGCCATACCTGAACTGTCCTAAATTATCAACAACAAATGAATAACAACTATTTGATGAGTAAAACCTAGAAAATAACTCGGTCATTGTGCATTACCTGATGATCCAGGAATATTCCCAAAACTTGGCCTATTGTTAATACTTCCAAAATTCGTGCTACCTATCGGGGAACTATTGCCAGAATCATTGAAAGTCTGATTTTGATTCCTGGATGTAAAATGGTTTTGAGGAATATTGTAGCTAGTGTTTTCGCGAGTTTGTCGTGGAGACACACGCGGTACAACTGGTTGGATGTTCGCTACAAATGCGAATTCATTTTGAAATTTAAACCTATTTTAAACTTAAAAAAAAATTACAAAAAAAATAAATAAGAAAAAATCACTAGATAAATTCAGGAAAGTTTCAAAATACTCCTGAGATATACTATAGTCAGAAAGCTAATCATAATTAAACAGCATTAATCTATCAAAAGAGATAGACATTCCTTGAAACTAATGGGTTTTTCGAGTTTTTAGGCCGTCGTTGGGTAGAATTTCTTCTTTGCACTTTAAAGAAGAAGAAATTCTACCCAACGACGGCCTAAAAACCCGAAAACCCCATTTGTTTCAGCATTAATCTAGCTTGAGAAAAAAAACAATTTAAAAAGTAGAATCAATTTAAAAATAATGCCGTAATAAAATACATTTCATGTGTACATTAAAATAGGATTAACACAAATTATAATGTGACAACTTTTAATTGGAACTTACTTCTTTGGTTTACAAAATTGCGAACTGGTTCCGTGAAAGCAGCACCATTAGCTAAAATAATATTAATATCGTATAAAAACTTACAGCAATTTTTGAATAATAGTAATAAATCAGAAATAGTTATTGTCAGTTTCAGCAAGTCTTCACACGGTTTATTTCTAAATGAAATTATTCAGATTATACAGAATTGTATTTACCTCTTCTAACACTTGCTAAATTAATATTGAGCATTTCTATAACATTGGGATCACATCCACCTATACATACATTATTCGGGTTGGGTTCTCCTGGAAACGGATTTGGCCTAAATGTAATTCTGAGCAGTTTAAAATCTGGTCCACACTAAAAAGCACAAATTGACACTCGAAATTCAAAAATACATCTTAGATTCTATCTAGAAACTACATTACCTCCGGGCAATATTCATCAGTAACGTCAATATTTTTAACCATGCTCGGAAACCATGCAGAATTTTTACAATCCGGATATCCCAAGCAACTTAAAAATTTACTACTTCCATTCTTTTTGGTCCTGAAAAATCATGAAATATTGAGAACTGGGAAGTTAACTGTTTTATCTATTTCGTTTTCTTTCTAACTTAGATGTTTTGTGCCTTTTTTAAGCTTAGCATCTGATGATTTTGGCTTTTTATCATGGTTTTATTGCATTTATCCGCCGCAATGTGTTTATTTTTAATATATCCACCAAAATGAATATTTCATTGCATCGCTCACTTTTTTGTACCTTTTAATGCAGCGTTTGTACTTACCTAACTATCATATCTTGGCCGCATTTTGGACATTTTAAGGCAGGTTTAAAATCCTGACCATTACCGGCAACGACTGCATCTGGAACGTTTTGAGGTCTATCGTCTAATCTATTTGCCAGACTATTATCGATAAGCCTGACGAAAAAAACCACAAATTCAGTAATATTTATAATTAAAATATGCTTCGAAAATACCTCATTTTTTCCGCTACGGTCATAAACACGGCTTTGTACTTTTCAACTTGCTCTCGTCTGACAACTTCAGGATTTTTCAGTCCATCACAAATCAATTTCAGATCTTTTTCAAAATCAGCGCGCAAAGTGGGCTTGGCCAAAGAAACTTCTAACCCGATATCGTTGTACCTGTAACAAGTAATCTACAATATTTAAGAGAAAATGCCTACTTTTCCAATCATCCGCAATTCTTAGAGATTAGTGGTCAAGAAACACTGTTTGAAAAGTTCGTATAGTTTTTGAAAATTAACTAAACTCACCCTTCTACTAATCCCATTCCAAGATTTCCAGGAACAAAATATATATCGTGTAAGCCGACGTACTCCCTTGACTTGATAGTGTCTATATGCTCGGCATGTGTTGCATCGGTACCAATTCCATGCTTTTCCATTAGGGCAATAAGATCAGCTTCAGTAAGCAATTTTGGAGGTGCTGTTTTGCTCTCAACCTGCAAAAATTCATGTCATTGAAATAAAGTTAAATTATTTAAGCTCTAATTTTACAAAATCGTTTTCTAAAGATTACAATAAATAAATAAAAAGCATACCCACCAATTCTAAAACAGTTGGGTCAAACGTGTCTCCTTGCTCATAATTGTTTATTTCCTTAGCATTCCATTTCTCATAAATATACACATCTAGGTAGTTCTTTTCCAAAATAATTAACCCTTTAGCTGTAAACTTTTCACCTGAAAAAATATATTCTTGAACGTATTAAATGACACTTCGGCGTGTTAAAATAGTTTCAGTATTATTTGAAAATATACTTACCGGCTATATCTACATTAACTACAGTTTCAAACCCCTGAGCATCTTTATGTACACAAGCTAAGAAATGTCGTACAATATATTCATAAACTCTTTTCTCGTTTCCTTGTAGATTGTCAGCATATTTTGTGGGATGTATTGGAGGATGAGCCTGAAAAACCGTTCGCAATAAAGCTGCAAAAATAGTTGAGAAATAAATTATTACTTGATCAGACTTTTTTCCTTGCCTGGGCGTAGGCCCACCTTCAGCCATAACACGGCGTGCAAATGGACCCCACTGGTTATCATTCTGTTGTTGTTCAACTAAATTGGCTAGATTTAGTTC